TTACGCAAACTGGTTAGATTCCATGTCGAAAGGGTCATGTTTAGCGCAGTATTGGCATGAGTGAAGGGTTGCTTATGCTGCACCACGGCGGCCGCTAGGCAGCAAAGGCAATCCTCAAGGCCGTAGCACAGCTCCCCATCTAAGGCAGGGATATGGCGACCAGTCAGCAGCCGGAGTAACGTGCCTGGGTTCAACTGAGACTGCTCGGGCCTGACAGCGGTGTCCTGTAAGACTTCCTTCAACGTCACAAGAGTCTGCGCAACTGTTGGACAACTGGTCGGTTCAACAGGATCCCTACTTTGGCGTTCCAAAATCACCAGGAATGCAGGCCCCGCCTATGCGATGAAAGACCGCTGCAAAGACGGCCTGAGCAAGCGGTATTGCCGATACCGAACACGCACTGTGCAACACCCAGAGCCCAATCAATCTGTAGGACGACAAACCATGACGAGTCAGTACCCTCACTCCGCTGACTTCGCTTTCGCGCCGCTCTCTCCGCGCACTCCGCTTCGCTCAACTCACTCGTCCGCTCCGCTCCCTCGTTCGTATCGCTCCGCTTCGTTTGCTCCGCGCTCTGCTTCAGCTCCGTTCGCAACACTCCCCTCGCTCTCTCCGCGCACTCCGCTTCGCTCCACTCTCTCGTCCGCTCCGCTCCCTCGTTCGTTTCGCTCCGCTTCGTTTGCTGCGCTCGCTCTGTCTGTTCCGCTTCGCTCGCTCGGTCCGCTCGGGTCCACAATCGTCGAGCTCCGATTGGCTCGTCCCAATTTTGGGCCTAAAGGGCTTCCTTCTAGCTGATCGATTGTGGGCCCAACACCCTGCTACACAAGAGAAAGGCCGCAGCTTTTTCGCGGCGAGTTACTCTGTGTGGCTACTGTACTCTTTGTGGCCACTCTGTGTGGCTACTCTGCGTGGCTACTCTTTGTGGCTACTCCGTGTGGCTACTCTGTGTGGCTACGCGTGGCTACTCGGTGTGGCACTCGGTGTGGCTACTCCGCGTGGCTACTCGGTGTGGCCACTGTGGGGGTACTCTGATGTGTCCTACGTTTTTTGTTGTTTTCCAGGCACCGAAAATGGGCTCGAAAAGCTCGTCGAAAGAGTGGCAGGGTAGGAAAGCCGTGGACGGAGGTTTTCAGGCCTGAAGAAGTGTTCGGAGGGACTTGGTAAGGCTGCGGTGCATGAATAGCAGACACCTTCAAATAGTGCCCGAATAGTGCCCGAAATAGTGCCCGAACTAGTGCCCGCATGAACTCTTCTTAGTGCCCAAATGATTTTTCGCGAAGAAAAAGAATATCTGGAGGGCTTAAGGGTTGGAAGGCCTGCAGGACCACCAAAACACTGGAAATGCGCACGAAGAAAAGGAATTTGTGCTGCAGGAGGCATTGGGGAGTGATCTGCGGGGCAGGGTTTGGAATGCAAAAGGAGGGGTTTAGGGAAGGATCTGCAGAGTTCAGGGCAGGATCTGCAAGGCAGGATTTGGGGGAGGGACTATTCGGGCACTATTCGGGCACTATGCCAGGTGGAGGCTTGGGCGGCATTATCTGGGCTAAGGGTTGGGAGGCCTGCAGGACCACCAAAACACTGGAAATGCGCACGGAATGCAAAAGGGGGGGTTTAGGGAAGGATCTGCAGAGTTTAGGGCAGGATCTGCAAGGCAGGATTTGGGGGAGGGTCCGCAAGCAAGCGTTTGGAGGAGCATACACGAAAAACATGAGGGGTGGCATGTGCAAAAAATTGTAGGGTAGTCTATCTACAAGTTTACGGGGGCCTTGGCCATGCGAGGGTTTAGGGAAAGATCAGGCAGGACTTCGGGGAGGATCTATAACGAGACTTTATGAAGGAGTTATGGTTTTTATCGAGTGCAGCAGCAGTCAGTCATTGACAGTCTTCTTGTTTGCATATTCAGAAACCTCCCCCCCGCCCCCTCAATTTCAATGTGTGCCGCAATGTGTGCCGCAATGCTCATTGGGCGCTTCTATGTAAACATTGAATTTGGGGGGAGCGGGGGGTCTGGAAGGTTTCAAGATTTGTGGACAAACAATTCCAAAATTGTACTATCGCGCGAGGCCATTTTCAGTGTTCGAAAAACCACGAAAACTGTAGGACGCATTAAGGTACCCCCATAGTCAGTTGCCGCCTTGCTTGCCATGCTGTGGTATTTATGACAAGTAGTTGTCATGACATCATGGTCAACAGTCTCAAGCTGACCACGCACAGACCCCGCGCATAGCTACAAGGTTGTTTTTCGAGCAAAGTTCCAATCCAATTGGGAGCGTCTTTGTCCAAAGGTTTTCGATCCATTCTAGAGCCCATTTTCGAGCTCCAAAAACGAAGCCCAAAATGGGGTCTCCCCTAATAGTTTCCAATCAGGCGGTCTCAGCTTTGGGAACCAATTTTTGGCCTCAAAATGGGGACCAACCCGAGCTCGAAAACTGCGGAATTCTGCGAGGGAGACGTGTTTGAAGCTTTACCAAAGTTTTGCCCGACATGCGGCGACCAGTGTCGCGAGCGACCGCGTCTGTTGAAATCAATCAAAACGCTCCGTTGCTACCCTGGTGATTGGGCTTGTGCTGCTTAAGCACCGTTGTTTGCCACTGTAACTGTGGGGGTACTCTGATGTGTCCTACGTTTTTTGTTGTTTTCCGGGCCCCGAAAATGGGCTCGTAAAGCTCGTCGAAAGTGTGGCAGGGTAGGGAAGCCCTGGACGGAGGTTTTCAGGCCTGGAGAAGTGTTCGGAGGGACTTGGCAAGGCTGCGGTGCATGAATAGTAGACGCCTTCAAATAGTGCCCGAATAGTGCCCGAATAGTGCCCGAAATAGTGCCCGAACTAGTGCCCGAATGAACTCTTCATAGTGCCCAAATGATTTTTCGCGAAGAAAAAGGAGATTTTCCTTCCTTTACGAAAGGAAATGTATTTGGGCACTATGAAGGGTTCATTCGGGCACTATTTCGGGCACTATTTCGGGCACTATTCGGGCACTATTCGGGCACTATGCCAGGTGGAGGCTTGGGCGGCATTATCTGGAGGGCTAAGGGTTGGAGGCCTGCAGGACCACCAAACACTGGAAATGCGCACGAAGAATAGGAATTTGTGCTGCAGGAGGCATTGGGGAGTGATCTGCGGGGCAGGGTTTGGAATGCAAAAGGGGGGGTTTAGGGAAGGATCTGCAGAGTTTAGGGCAGGATCTGCAAGGCAGGATTTGGGGGAGGGACTATTCGGGCACTATTCGGGCACTATGCCAGGTGGAGGCTTGGGCGGCATTATCTGGAGGGCTAAGGGTTGGGAGGCCTGCAGGACCACCAAAACACTGCACGGAATGCAAAAGGGGGGGTTTAGGGAAGGATCTGCAGAGTTTAGGGCAGGATCTGCAAGGCAGGATTTGGGGGAGGGTCCGCAAGCAAGCGTTTGGAGGATACACGAAAAACATGAGGGGTGGCATGTGCAAAAAATTGTAGGGTAGTCTATCTACAAGTTTACGGGGGCCTTGGCCATGCGAGGGTTTAGGGAAAGATCAGGCATGACTTCGGGGAGGATCTATAACGAGACTTTATGAAGGAGTTATGGTTTTTATCGAGTGCAGCAGCAGTCAGTCATTGACAGTCTTCTTGTTTGCATATTCAGAAACCTTCCCCCCCCGCCCCCTCAATTTCAATGTGTGCCGCAATGTGTGCCGCAATGCTCATTGGGCGCTTCTATGTAAACATTGAATTTGGGGGGAGCGGGGGGTCTGGAAGGTTTCAAGATTTGCGGACAAACAATTCCAAAATTGACTATCGCGCGAGGCCATTTTCAGTGTTCGAAAAACCACGAAAACTGTAGGACGCATTAAGGTACCCCCATAGTCAGTTGCCGCCTTGCTTGCCATGCTGTGGTATTTATGACAAGTAGTTGTCATGACATCATGGTCAACAGTCTCAAGCTGACCACGCACAGACCCCGCACATAGCTACAAGGTTGTTTTTCGAGCAAAGTTCCAATCCAATTGGGAGCGTCTTTGTCCAAAGGTTTTCGAAGAAGCCCAAAATGGGGTCTCCCCTAATAGTTTCCAATCAGGCGGTCTCAGCTTTGGGAACCAATTTTTGGCAAAATGGGGACCAACCCGAGCTCAAAAACTGCGGAATTCTGCGAGGGATGTGTACTATCGCGCGAGTGCTTTTCAATCAAAACGTTTGCGGTGACATTGTTTGCCACTGTAACAGTCAGTTGCCGCCTTGCTTGCCATGCTGTGGTATTTATGACAAGTAGTTGTCATGACATCATGGTCAACAGTCTCAAGCTGACCACGCACAGACCCCGCGCATAGCTACAAGGTTGTTTTTCGAGCAAAGTTCCAATCCAATTGGGAGCGTCTTTGTCCAAAGGTTTTCGATCCATTCTAGAGCCCATTTTCGAGCTCCAAAAACGAAGCCCAAAATGGGGTCTCCCCTAATAGTTTCCAATCAGGCGGTCTCAGCTTTGGGAACCAATTTTTGGCCTCAAAATGGGGACCAACCCGAGCTCAAAAACTGCGGAATTCTGCGAGGGAGACGTGTTTGAAGCTTTACCAAAGTTTTGCCCGACATGCGGCGACCAGTGTCGCGAGCGACCGCGTCTGTTGAAATCAATCAAAACGCTCCGTTGCTACCCTGGTGATTGGGCTTGTGCTGCTTAAGCACCGTTGTTTGCCACTGTAACAGTACTCGTGTGGCTACTCCGCGTGGCTACTCGGTGTGGCTACTCGGTGTGGCTAATCCGCGTGGCTACTCGTGTGTGGCTACTCCGTGTGGCTACTCTGTGTGGCTACTCTTTGTGGCTACTCTGTGTGGCTACTCTGCGTGGCTACTCTTTGTGGCTACTCTTTGTGGCTACTCTCTGTGGCTACTCTCTGTGGCTACTCTCTGTGGCTACTCTTTGTGGCTACTCTTTGTGGCTACTCTTTGTGGCTACTCTTTGTGGCTACTCTTTGTGGCTACTCTTTGTGGCTACTCTGTGTGTGGCTACTCTGTGTGGCTACTCTTTGTGGCTACTTTGTGTGGCTACTCTTTCCTGCAACCTGCCGTGCCTTGGTGCCTTCACTCTTTCCCGTCGGGAAGCCCAGACATGTGGCTGCATCGCAGTTTTCCTGAGAGCAGCGCGCGAACGCTTGGGGTGTGTAAGCGGCGATGGCCCACATGCGGCCCTCATGGGGCTCCACTTTGTGATAGCGGCGAGCGTTGAAAGAGACGGGCTTGTCGTGCATGTCTGTCCATGAGCCCCAAAGCTGCTGAGTGTTGCGCTTCGTAACTCGCAGTTCCGGAGCCGCGCCATCATCGTCTTCGACCCAGATCCTGCCTCCCGTGAAGGACCCGAGAGCGATTGCGTGGTTCGGCTTGCCAATCATGTTCAGAATGTCTCGATGCAGACCAATGCGAGGGTTCAGCACCACCGCGATGGAAGTCCAAGTCGCATCGGGAAAGCGATATCGCAGAAAGTGATTGAGTGCCACGCAGGCGTCTCGGTTGACGGAAGCTTTTGAGAGCATGGGATCGTTGCCTCCATAGGCGAAGAGTCCCAGAGTGCAATACAGCTCATACGACCCCGAGCCGATAGCCCGCTGGCGGCCGCGATGCTTCCACTCGGGTGACCACAGCTCCAGCAAGCGAACCACATTGTCTTCGGACGGAGATTGCATCACTGCTTCGCACGCGGCTTGCATTTTATGTGAGCAGTCGGGGGGGTTGGGGTGGGCGGTTGAAGTCTCGGAGCTGGCGCACGGCCAAGGGCTCCGGCCGCCGGGTGAGCCGGGCCACGGGCTCGCCGGAGGCGGGGCACGGGCAGCGCGTGCTTGAGTAGGGTCTCGCTGCCGTCCGTGGCGCGGACCGTCATGGAGTCGAAGCTCGCCACGTCCCTCGCAGGGCCGTGCTGTGGCTGGAAGCTCCTCGCCGCATTGGCTGGTGCGCGGAAGGCGCGAAGCTGGCGGCCGGCTTGGTCTCCACGTCCTCGGGGGCCACCGTGACCGCGGCGTGCGGCCGGGCGTTGTAGGCCTCCGCCACGTCGTCCACGTGGTCGCCCCAGCCGCCGCCCCGCCGGGCCACCTCCCCGGCCAGGTCCTTCTTGAGCGTCTGGATGGCGCGGTCTATGACGGCGGTGGCGTTCCTGTCCGCCGGGTCCTTCTGGCGGTGCACCGCGCCTCCGGTCAGGGCGGCCTCGAGCCCCCGGAACTCGTTGCCCTGATCCGTGGTGACGACGTAGTTGCCCTCTTCCTGCACCAGGTCCGGGATGATCTCCGCTTGTCGGGCAGGGCCTTCGTGGCCACCTCCCTCGTGAACACATCCGTGACCACCAGGCCGAACTTGTTGCGGCTCCGGGTGTTCTGGCTGAAGTCGATGAGGTCCGCCTGCAGCCGGTCGTTGGGCCCCTCCGCCGCCGATTTTCCCAGGCTCCTGGGCTTGGGCGCGAGCACCTGCCGCGCCACGTCGCTGCGCAATGCCGCCGCGGCGCGCGCCGACGTGAGGTCGCGTCGCTCCGGAAACTCCCGTCGAGCGATCTGGTAGAGCTTCCTGGGGTCCCTGACGTTGAAGTCTCTAGCAAGCCTCCCTAAGAGCTCCATTGCGCCGTCCTCTGCCATTTTACTGAGGTGCCTGCGCTGCTTTCCTCCAGACGGCAAGGCGCGGGGCACAAGGCTGGCGGAGCTTCCTGCTTGTTTGCGCCCTGCCGCCAGGTTATGGAGAGATCCCATCTCCCTGCGGTCCACTCGCTGATGCGCACCTGCGCTCGGCACCGGGCACCGCAAGGCTGTGGGCGATTCGGATGCCGTGATCAGTTTCTCAGGCGATGCTTACGACCGCACCGCCTTCTCTACAAGTGGAAGGTGCCTCGGCTGCGCTTTTGTCGTGTTAGTCCGAGTCGCCCTTGCGCCCCTTCTTCTTCTCGAGCTTCTCCACCCGCCTCTGGAGCTTCTTCACCACGCCCCAGAGCACCACCGAGAGCTTCTGATAGTCGAGGGCCATCAGCTCCCTCCCGTCCAAATTCTTCGTCTTGCACAGCGTGGCGCCCAGCTTCCCGCTGGCCTGCACGTCCTGGGCCACGAAGCCTATCTGCTCCTTGCCGCCGTCGATGCGGTCGAAGAGCTGCGGCTCCACCGCGTCGAAGGTCTGCTGCAGCTCCTCCTCCGGGATGGCCCGGACATTCTCCTTAAGCGCCCGGTCGCTTAGGTTCACAAAGCCGTAGCCGAAGATCACCTCCCCGTCGTTGCTGCCCCCGATGTTGGGTTCGATGGCCAAATTCGCCAGGCCGTTGGTTGTGTTGAAACTCATGAACTGAAACAAGGTGTTGAGCTGCACGCCCCCACCCGCCTGTGCCTTGAGCACCGCCAAGCCGTTCTGGCCGTTGGCGTCGAGGAGCAGGTGGGCATCGCCCGTCGGCGCTGCGTTGCGGATCACCATGCCCACAGTACCGTCCGTGGGTCCCACGGCGATCTGCTCCAGCAGCGGCGAAAGGACCTGCACGCCGCTGCTGCCACCCGAGAGGGACAGGAAGGGCAGCGAAGCCTCGGGGCCCAGCACCCCGTTGATCCGCACCGTGTCATCCATCAGAATCCCGTTTGTGCCGCCCTGCACCGTGAGCCAGGGCGCCGCCGGATCGGAGCGCACCAGCGGTGCCTCGAGCCTGAGGTCGCTCGTGATCTCCTGTGTGGCCGACACTGAGCTGCTGGTTGCGAAGGTTCCCGTGGCCGCCGTGGAGCCCACGAAGAACTGGGCGACGTCTGCTGTGGTGGCATTCAGGGTGCGGTCCGAGCGCACGGTGACGTCTTGCTCCAGGCCGATGTTGCCGGCGGCGAAGGAGGCCACCAGTGTGCCGTCTTCGGCGCGGATGGTGGTGGTGGCGTTCCGGATTTGCAGATCGGCTGCAGCGCTCTGCAGCAGTGGCGTGTCCACGAAGCTCGTGGCCGTGAGGCTGTTGACGGCGAGGTCCGTCGCGGGGTCCACCCCCGGGCTGTTCTCGAGGTCCGTGACGCGCTGGCCCAAAGAGTTGAAGTTGGCGATGAGGGGATAGCGGGTGTCGCTCTGACCCTTCGACCAACAATCACAGGATATCTGGAGGGTGCTGCCGTTGCCTAGGATGGGCTGGCAGGAGAGCGGGGTTTGGCACAGGATGTTTCGGATCAAAATCGGAGTGAATTGGGTCTGGGCCAAGTTGAAGATGCCGCCTCCCTCGGCACTCGGCGCCGGGAGTGGTGACGAAGTACCGGGCATCGAGCGGGCCCAGGTTGTTTGAGCGCAGGAAGCGGGAATCAGCCTCTGCCTTGGACCAGGAGTCGCAGCGGAGCCGCAGCGTACTTTGATTGCCTAGAATGGCGTCGCCCACCAGCGGCGCCTCGAGGAGCAAGTTGCGCACGATTCTCGGCGTGAACTGTTCTTGAACCAAGTTGAAAATCTGGCCCGACTCCGCACCGGGAGCGCGCACGAAGTAGCGTAGGTCCGCATCCGCCTGGGTCTGAAAGCCGGCGATGGCATCATCGATCTCCGTTTGGGTGCGGCCCGACGTCCAATATTGGGTGAAAGTGGCTGTGAGCTGGCTGTCCAGCTCCGTGCGTGGATAATACGCGAGGAGCTCGTTGGCCACGTAGCTCTGCGTCTGGGCAGAGGTGAAGTAAGCCGAGAGGTCGACGCCGCCCGCCACGGCGTCGGCGATGGCCTGGATCATTGCAGCGGTGTCGCTGTAGTTCAGGAGCTGCGCGTCCGTGTAATCCTTGGACTCGATCACGGCAGCCTCGACGTTCGCCGTGGCTTCCGCCCGCGTGAAGTGGTTGGCCAGGGCCGCCGTGATTGCATCGTTGGTCTCCAGGACCGTGTAGTACCCGCCGAGCTGGGCGAGCGCCCAGGACTCGCTGGCCTTGGGCGCCAGCAAAGCATCCGCCTCCGCTTTCGAGCAGCTGTCCACGGAGAAGGACAGGGTCCAGTCGTCGTTCGCCAGCTGGATGCTGAGCGGCGCCACGGCGTGCAAGTTACGGATTTGATTTGTGCCGGCCAGCAGGTCCCAGGTAATGTTCCCGACCCAGGCCGGAGCGTTGACGAGATTCGTCGCGCCGCCCAGGGTGGCGATCTCCGCCAGGACCCCGTCGATGGCGGCCTGCAGCGAGACCTGCAGGGAGGTGAGGTCCCCGCTGGTGGCGAAGGGCCCGGCGTTCTGCAGCGCAAGGATCGCCGCGTCCGCGGCGTCCAGCCGGGAGTCCTGCAGGGCCTGCCCGGCGTCGTAGGCGCCCTGGGTCACGTACCCGAGCAGCGCCGTGGTCAGGTCCCCGGTAGCCCGCGCCCTGCAACGCAGCAAGCAGCGCTTCGGCCGCGTCGAGCCGGCCGTCTCTCAGGGCCAGCGCCGCATCCAGGGCCGTCTGCTGCACGTACTGCAGCAGCGCATTAGCGATCTTGGTGTCCACGTCCAGCGGCGTGGTGCGGAGAGCCACCGCTGCGTTGAGGTCGCTGGTGCTCGCCATGGGCAGCAGCGCCGTGACGATGGCCTGGGTGACGTCGCCTGCCGTTTGGCGGGCTGCCACGTCCAGGGCCAGCTGGTCCACGACCGACTTGAGCGCATAGGTGGTTGCGACGCTGGCGAGCGTCGCGTTGTTCGCGGAGGCGATGCTGCGAGCTTGAGGTCCACGCTGGCCGGCGTGCTCTTAGAATCGACCTCCACCTGGAGGGCGTCCAGGCCGACTGGTTGGCTTTGGTGGCCAGGCCCGCGGTGAGGCTGGTGTTCACAGCCGTGAGGCCGGAAGCGTTGGCTGCGATGGAGCCCTCGGCTGCCGCGAGGTCCGCGGCCAGGGCGTAGGGAGTCAGATCGGGAGCTGCGGGCAGGGCGGCCACCTGGCCCTGCAGCGCGGCGATGGCGGCGGCGTTGGTGCCGATGTCGGCGGTGTTCTGGGTGGTGGTTTCCAGGGGGGTGTACTGGGTCAGGACGAGGGAGAGCTGGCCGGCGGAGATGCCTTGCAGTTCGATGACCGGCGGGGGCGTTGTGCCGTCGTCCAGGACCCTACCGGTCAGGGTGGAGGGAAACAAACTCATTTACATCTAGTCCAAGACGCTGACCCCGCTGCCCGAGAGAGTTTTACGATTTGCATCGAGACCAGGCCGATGAAGCACTGATCCACGCGGTCCGCGAGCATCGACTTGAACGTGAACCGGCACAGGTCGCCTGAGCGCGTCGACAAACCGCTGGTGGGGTGCTTGGGCACACGCTCCGTGGGGAACGCGGCGATGAAGTTGGTGTTGTCGTAGTTCGGCAGGCGCATATTTCGGATCTTGGAGTCATACGTGCCCGCCATGATCGCGAGGAAGTGGTGGTATTCGGCGATGCTTTTGACACTGTTCCTTGGGAATTGTAGGGCTCCCAGCTGCAGCTGGCCCTCCATGACCGTGGCCGCCGAGACGTTCGGGAAGGCCTCCCCGGGGTATTCGAAGTTGGAAATGTGGTTTTCGCCCGTCTTGTTGAAGTGCACGAAGGCTCCCAGCATCTTGGTAACGCTCTCGCGACGGTGATATTGTAGCTCGTCGAGCCCGCCGGCACGGAGCTCTGTTGCACGTGGAGGCTCGGGAAGCTGAAAATCAGCGATCTGTTGGACAAAAATATGCGCTCGAAGCTCTCCCGGAGGGCGCTATCAAGGGTCACCTGGTCGGCCAAAAGGTGCACGTTCTCGATCTGATACGACAGGCTGGAGCCCACGCCGGCGCGCGTGGCCATCTCGGGCTCGGCGAACTCGATCTCCAGGACGAGATTTAGCTGCGGCGGGAGCATCTTGCCGCAGTTGAACATGCCGATCAGATGGGGGTGCATGAGCACGTCCCGCTTTTGCCCCGGCTGCACCGGCTGCGCCCAGCCGCCGGCGTGCACCGGGAGGCCCTCCCAGTGCAGCTCCGTCCACCAGTCGCTCGGTTTCAGTAGCGAATACATGAAGCAACTGCGCCCGTAGTAGCTGATGTCTTCCACGCGTTGCCCGTTGGCGAAGAGCTGGATCCTTTCGATGAAACTCGAGGGGTCCGGCGAGCCGCAGAGCATGTCGCTGGAGCCGTCCGTGTTGCGGAAGGTGAAAGCCAACTTGATCGATTCAGGGTCCACGAAATCCATCCCGGGGGTGATTGGGATCCGACATACGCGGCTGGTGCTCGGGGTGAAAGTGCTCAGGGAGCTCGGAAAGAACTGCACCGACTTGCGACTTTGGATGTAGTTGGTGTTCCCCGTGGCCAGCTTGTAGTCGAGGCTGGCCACCAGCTCGTCGTTGACGGCTTGCGTAACCTGCTCCATCACTCTTTACATACCTATGCAGCTTCCGGTTCGCTCGCCTGACGAAGGGCGTCGAAGGACGGCTGGGCGAAGCCTCGGGCTGAGCCCTCGGTGCCCAAAGGCCCGCGGTCCGAGCGGGACTGCCGGCTGATGCGGGACCGGTCGCTGCCGGAAGAGACCGGGATGGGAGCGTTGTTGAGGCCGAAGGGTGTGGGGACCTGGGCCCTGGGGCGCCGCGCCGGGCGGGCCACTATGCGTTGCTGCGGCTGGGGGCGCGGCTCGCTCTCTGAGTCCGTGTCGATCCGGAAGACCTCCGGCCTCCGCTGGGCTCGGCGCTGCTCCTGGATGAAGTAATGATCGACGGCGCCCGACTCTTGCATTTGGTTCAGTGTTTGAACGTCCGTGGTCATGCTGGGCCGCGACGCATCGGAATCCGTGCCGCCGCCCGTGGCCGCTCCCCAGCCCATCATGTGCGACGCCGCGTTCAAGCCGGTGTCGATGGCCCACGCGGTTCCGACCAGTGCTGCGCCTGCGCCAGCAACGGCCAAGCCGCCCGCCGCCGCGCCCACGGCGCCGGCCGTCGCCAGGGCTCCTTCGCCCAGGAGCGCAAGAGCTCCTCCGCCCGCTTCTGCCGCGGTTGCTGCTTCGCGGCTTCGGCTGCAGTCGCAAAGCCTTCTGAGGCCTCCGCCTCTGCCAGCTGCTGCGACGCAAAAGCCTCGATGTCTTGCGCCGCCGCACGCTCCGCCTCCGCGGCTCTTTGGCCGGCCCGCTCCAGCAAGGGCTCCACCTCGGAGGGCCTCCCGATGATTTGCGGCGGGGGCACCTCGTCCGGCGGCGGGCCCAGTCCGGGCGGCCTCCTGGGGATCCTTAGGGTTCTGTCCAGCCAGTCGCCTCCGCCCCGCAGGATGTTGAAGGTTTGGTTCTCGCCCACGCTGCGCGCCGCGGCCGCAGCGCCCGCCGCGCCTCCCGCGATGATCGTCTCTGCCGCCTGGATGCCCGACTCCCGCAGCCGGCCTCCCAGGCTCGGGGGCCTCGGTGCATCGAGCCCGTCGTTGCGCAGGGCCTGGCCTGGGTCCATGCCTCCGTCGTCGCTGTCCGGCAGGAAGCTGTGCCGAGTGAACTCTCTGGGCGGGCGGGGAAACGGAGTACCGCTGTAACCTTCGTCCGCTGTCTCGAAGGCGGCCGCCGGATTGATTGTGGTGTGCGGCATCGGTGCGTCGCTAATGGGCTCGGGTGCATTCGGGTAATCATCTAGAAAGTAATGCGAAGCGGTGTAGATGCTCGCCTTGCGGTTGGGCAAGGGGATGTCGAGGGGTTCGCCCTGTGATTGAGGGTGAGAAAGGCACTCGACATGTCCCTTTGGTGCGATCTACTGTGTATTTGGGAGCCAAGATTTCATACGACCAGTTCGAAGCGCAGACGATTGCACACAGGATGCAGAAGGCCAATGTTCGATTCTGGCAGTTGCAGAAGTTCTTTACGAGCAAACGTGGTCTTGGTATTCATCAAAGGATTCGGATGTGGATGGCTACCATTAGGCCGACGCTCATGTATGCAGTTGATTGTTGCTTGGTTGGTCCCACTCTCCAACGCAAATTACAGACTCTCATCATGAAGCACTTCAGAGCCATTTGTTCGTGTCCGTCACACATCTCTCACGTTAGCGATGCAGATCTGCTGGCTAAGTATCGTGTCGATGGTATATCTGACTGGCTGAAGGCTGCATGTGACCGTGATGTAAATATCAACGACACGATTGGCATTTCCACGGCTACACTCGCTGGATGGCATGCCAAAATGAGTGAGACCTTGAAGGCTTCCCAACACCGCCTCACGCACGTGGCCAAAGAGATTCAACCACATGCCTGTCCCGTCTGTGGTGTGTATTTTGACTCTCGCAAATCGGTGAAACTGCACATGCATCAGAGCCACAAGCCTCCTAAATCCAACGATGATTTGCAGCCTCCGAACACTGCTTCTG